CAGCGCATTTTATGGAGGACTGTTTCCTGATCCTGGTAGAGTAGACTACAATGCCGGCTGTTCTGACTCACAGACTGTAAGTAAGTTTTCATTTAAAGGATTTGCCACCGATGATTCAGACGCGAGTTTTGGACAGTGTAGTGTAGCGCTTGTTTGTCATTTCTCCGATCACAAATGCAGACATGGTTTTATGTTTACGCGGCACGATACAACGCAATGCATACAAAGACAGTATAAGTCATTATAATCTGTAATTATGTCCCCACTGGATGCAACACATGCCTCGTTTGTAATGGGTTTTCATGTTTTTGTCTCATAGCTCCAGCCGGGACAAGGCATCACAATATGGTAAGGGACGTAACATTTCCGAATGTTCTTTTTAGCAACATTATATGACCCCTTTAAGGATTAACCGTATTAATTATTACAAATGGCCTGTCAGCCTTATTCTGCTGCTGTGTGAACGTGGCCTTGAATTCTGACCGAATAGTAAACCCCAATAGACCAGACCACTTGATGCAAATTTATTTTATTTTTTCCCCCCTATTCTCAGCTCCTCTGCGCAAGCTGTTATGACGTCACATTTAGAAAGTCTCGCCTGGCTTGGAACTTGCTCATTTTGTGGGTTGAAGTTTCGGAGTATAGATTGATCGACTGATTGCTATCTGACTTTTATCGAGTGACAAATATTGTTATCATGAAATAAGAGCTTCTGGAGGTGGCCAGCTCTCCGCTTTCCTCACCAGAGAGCCACTAAATACGATCTGGCTAAAGCTGAGAATAAGCACCAGGCTGAAGCCGGATCATATCGGACATTTACAGATGGTACAATCACATCAACATGTCATGTTTTGATTTTAGGCTCATTATTCAATTACAATTCTTCTGTTCTTATTTTTTAAATTAAGAATCACTTTTTTAAAGGTTTTTGATCAGAGCATGATCTGGGAATAGCTTTATTAGGTGTCATTACCAAACCAGTCAGTATGTTAGAGCTTAAACATTGATTAAATCAATTCACATTGTTGAGAGAAGTTTAATTTTAACATATCAAGTCAAA